TGAAAGGCGCGGTTGTAAGCAGTATAAGTGAAATCCGCGGTCACAGTCATCGCAGAAAAGAAGCTGGTCCTGTAAAAATTTGCCAGTGTCATTAGCCAAATGTATTTTCCAGAACAAAAAAAACGGGGCTAGAATAAACAAAAACACTTAGATAATACATGATGGACATAATCCCCGCGCTAATCTGAATATCAAGTGCTATTAGGGCGATTGCAAGACCGAAAAGTGTCCACCTGCCGATATCACTAGGATAAAAGCAAATAATGCTGTACAGCTAGGCCAAAGCTTTCCTGTTGGGTGCTAATTCGCTTCACTTCACTTCTTATCCACTATCTCAAAGAAGCAAATATGATTCAAGGAGCGTGTTGAAGGACCCGTGGTGGTGCAGCTGTGAGAGCAAGCAAACTAACATCGTTATCAGAAAATCCACAAATTGCACAGCTCTTGCACTCGATGCATTGCCAGCCATACTTGCTGGTGGATGTGAGCATGTTCTCGGTAAATTTGAGGCAGCTTGGATGACCTATAAACACATTATCAGAGGTACTGAGAAGCTAAAAAAAAGCTCCGCTAATTCGCTTCTTTCGCAAGATTCATTCAGCCATTAATTGTGCAACAACAGCACTCATAAGCTGTCTCTTTTTTAAATTTCGTGGCTAAACAAAACTGAGCATTTTGTAATTAAATTGAATGGTTTTTCAGGAGTTCGCTGGATGATTGAGCAGCATTGGTTGTTTTGCTGCTTGCTTGGTTGTTTTTCTCGGTTGCTGGATTAGCTCAGTTTGACAATCCGCAAAGCGCTTAAGTGGAATGAACTGATTTGGCTCTGAAGCACTCAACTCAAAATATCAAATTTAATCATAAAAAACTCGTTAATTCAAAAAGGGAGTGCGATGCGAGCACTTCTATTTGAAAAAAACGATAAAAAACAAAGCAGCTAGCATCGGAAGATATAGCCTAGTTAAAGTAATCATGAAAAGGTTGCCAGCTGCTTTAGGAAATGTTCTTTCAGCGTGATGCGAAGGTATGCTGCGGTGAAATGACATAAACCAAAGGCGCAAATGATAAAAAACAAAAAAAAAGAGATTAAAAAAATGATAAAAAGTAAAAAAACAGATATTTTTAAAAGTGTCGCCAAAAATAATAAGCTGCAGTATCGAGATAAAATTATAATGGTGTATTAATATTACGGTAATGAAACAGAGCAATATTGATGATTATGATAACAATAACACTAATTACGATGATAATACTGACAATCATATTAAATATATTTACATTGAATCATAATTCAGAATTATTATGAAACTGAAGAAAAAATATATGAAAACGCATGTGCCTGAATCCAAAACGAGATAGCCCTGCTGTGGAAAGTGTTAAAAATTTACCTGATCGTCCGCAGTCATGGCAGCTGACAAGCTGCTCGGGCACCATTGTTTTTTTATTCTGATGGCAGTCACCAAGGCATAGGTCGCAAACCGTGGATACATCGATGCTCGGCGACAGCACTGAAAAGCACTGAACGTGAGAACCGCTTCGCAGCAAATCTCGTTGGCTCACAGGACATTCTTTTACTCTGTGCTGAGCAACAGTCGGCTCGTTGCCAGCAAAATTTTCCCTCTGTTTCAGGACCATTTCTGTGAAGGTTTTTTTTTTGTGCAGGTGCTGCTAACAAGCGGATTTTCTTGTGCACTGCAAGTGTGAAGTGGAAATTTAGAAGTCCATTTGCGGATGTGCGATGTCGGGAACTGATCAGATTGCGTGTGGGAGCGCCCGTTTCTGACTGCGATTTTC